AGACAAAAAAAAAAAAAGACTGCTCAGAGATAGAAAAACACAAAGACTTAAAAAATGACAAAGGAATAAAGAGAACAGTAGGTCACTGAGGTGCCTAGGAAGAAACTAAGGAAGAAAATTCACAAAGAATATAGTTAGTAAAAAGCGTCGCAGAAGATAATGATTCAAAAGAACCATCAGGGCTGGATATGAGGCTCAAGCAGTACAGCATCTGCCTACCAAGCACCAGGCCAAGTTCAATCTCCAGTGCCGCCGAAAAAAGTAAAACCAAAAGAACCTATGAAAGTGTGTGTTGGTAACATCTATCAGAGCAGTTTCAGTAGGCTAACACAGCACAAAGTTGTTTACTGTGTATAAAGTAATAAATGGAAGATGAAGAAGCATAGACTGGTGTGGACTACACTTTAAAACACATGGTTATTGGGCTGGAAGTATACTTCAGTGGTAGTGCTTGCCTAATCATGGCTGTTTAAAGAGAAACGGCAGATTTTGTGAAACCTGTGAAATTGTGAAAAGAGCAATTTGTGAAATTATGAAAACAGCAATTTTTTTGCCTCTTTTTGTCTTTTAAAATTATAGGCTTAGAGATGGAGTCAAAAGAGAAGGAAAGACTGAAAAACAGAAGAGTTCACAATCTGAATTTAAGAAGATGAGAAGGGGTAAGAGAAACAGAGGAAACGATACTTCCTTTATCTAAAGGAAAAAACCTACTTGCCTCTAAACTAAAATGAAGGAGGTAACTGGAGGCAATCATAAATTTGTAAGCTTGGAAAAGGAAGTCAAAGAAATTTATTTCTGATAAACACCTCAGAGCAACAGCATTTATGACTGAGTAATATATTGCTCTTGGGTATCATTTATATTCAAACAGGTTAGGACACATATAGTATACATGTAAATTTGTAAAACAATGTGTCTAAATACTCACCTTCCATAACATCTTTTTCAATTATCTTAACTTCTGTTTGATTATTTGTCTGTTGCTTACGAATAGATGTTTTTTTAAATTTATTCACCATACATTCCTAAAACACAAAACAGAAAGAATTCAAACTGTTTCACTGAGCACTTAATACACACTCACCACAAAGTTTATCCTCTGGAAGACACAATATCTGCTCTATAAGAACTAACACTTGTTCATAAGGAGTTCACAATTTAGTAGAAAAAGTTATCATAACATACTAGGAAGCTACAGAAAGTATTAACTTTTCAAGATGTATTTTTGGTCATTTAGAGAAAAGATCAGAAAGCTGAAATACTTAACAGGTCTCTTCAGGTAGGTAAGTCATTAGTCACAATTATGCAAACCCATTAAACAAAGATATTACACAAAAGAATTTTTTTTTGGGGGGGTACTAACTAGGGCTTGAAATCAGGGCCTCAGCTTTCACTCTATCACTTGAGCCATTCCACCAGCCCCAGAAAGGAATTTTAATCAAGAGACACAATTCTATCCGGATATAAAGGTCTAAATGATCATGGTATTTCTAACCTAATAATTTCATCTCTTGTGCCCTAATCAGTTTTATGTACACTAACCCAGTTCAAGCCTCTTTTTGTAGCATTCCTGGTCCCAACTATCTTTTCTTTCTCCAAGCCCTTAAAGTACTTCTGCATTCTTGGCATTTCCACCAAAATAGATATACTCTCTGTATAGCTGTTCCACTTCTAATTATAATTTTTTTTAACTCAGGACCTCATGCTTGCTAGGTAGGCATTCTACCACTTGAGCCACTCCACCAGCCCTATTTCTAATTATTATTGATTCACTGAATGCAGTGTCTGTGATCTTCAAGAAAATCTATTAAATTGAAGACCATATACTGATAACATGAAGAACACTAAACAAATACCAGTGTCTCTACCTCTGAATTCAGACCTTGCCCTGTCAGTAAGTGGACTGACAGGGTCCTTTAGCTATTCTGAGTATAAACTTTTAATTATGATAAAAATGAGATGCTATGAGGCACAAGTGAACTAACACATTCAAGAACTGAGTACAATCCCAGGTATAAGAGTAAACTCTCAATGGATGATAGCCAAATCTATATCAATAAACAATTGTTAAAGGAATTCTTTTTCTGATACCTCACAGAAACTACTGCGAGAAATGTAAAGGGCTTTCTTAAATAACAAATCCAAATTGTATTACAGAAGAATTCACATCTAATGCTAGGTTAATTTTTAAATTTTCTTTAAATGAATGCTAGGTTAATTTTTAAATTTTCTTTAAATGAATAGTTATTAAATTTTTAGAAACAGAATGGGAAAGGTAAGGAACTATAAAAAGAAAAAAAATATGAAATAAACTCAGATCAGATGAAAATGTTTCTCACTCTGAAAATAGCTACTTACATGCAAAAACTCCATAACTATTTTATCAAATTTGGTTTGTTTCTGAATATGATCTAATGTTTCCTGATGTGAAGAACTTTCCAGATGCAGTTCAATATCTTTTTCTTCAAATGTTCGAAATTTACAAAATGAGCATGTGAATGCCATTCTAGAAGAAAAGTAAGTTTTCCTTTAAATGTTACATTTACTTAGCAATCATAAGAATATACCATCAAAAAAAGTAATTTTACTAGCATAAATAATTTCCTTTCTTCCATTTTGGAATTTGAATTTAACTTGAAAAAAACCAGTATTTATTTAAGTACCTATTTGAACAACACAGTCATTATACCACTTGGCATTTCTGGCTCACCCTCAAGCTTGTAGATATGAAAAATGAATGGAATCAGTAGATCTGTAAGGTATCCACTTCAAGCCTGGCCCAATTAAAGAACCAAATAAACTGCAAGAAGTATCAAGTTCCAGAACTTTTTGTGTGTGTGTGTGGTACTGGAGTTTGATCTCAGGACCCCATACTTTCTAGACAGGTGCTCTACCATTTGAGTCACTCCACTAGCTCTTTTATGTGATAGGTTTTTTCAAACCAGGGGCTTGCAAGCTATTTGCCCCAGAGGGCTTCAAACCATGATCCTCCTGATCTCTGCCTCCTAAGTAGTTAAGAATACAGACATGAGCCACCAGTGCTCGGCTCCAAAACTTATTTTACACTCTGTTCCATCCTCAAGTTTCTAAGTTGAAAATCCACCCCAGAATGAATTTCCCCATTGTTTCTACTTTATGTAAGCTGTTATTTCTTTTTTCTTTGTCATCATAATTTCTTGAATTATGACAACCATCTTCTAACTGGTTTCTGATTCAGATCTCCATTTTCCAAGTAATTCCTTACACTACTATTATATTCTCCTGGTTGAGAGCATGAGCTCCCAAGTTGATTGCTGGGTTTTTATGAGTTTATATCCTGGCCCCCTTTTGTGTCCACAGGCAACTTACTAAATTTCCCTGGCCTCATTTTTCTGATACTGATGCAATAAGAATCCTCAGAGGTGTCATGAGGATTAAAAAAAAAAAAAAGGTAATACATAAAAGTCCTTAAAATAGCTCCTGGTACACAGTAATTATTCAATTAATTATTACTACTTTCTAAAGGAGGTATTAGCATATTACTGCTCAAATGCGTCACTGACTCCTTAAGGCTCAAAAAGCTCAAAAAACTAAGTCAAAATACTTTCAAGCTGCCATCCAGGAAATTTCCAAAAATCTCTTTCTCTTGTTTCTACCTGCCAATACCTTTAACAGTATATTGTACATTGTAGGTCTTCATTAAACATTTAAATTACAACTTTCAGACCAATACCATCACTTTAATCTACACAGTTTCCCATTTTCTAAATATCAATAAAACATGTCTATTTCTGTTTTTACCTCAAGCCATATATTCTACCTGCCTCTCACAGCTCCTCCTACAATCCTACCATTCCTAGAGATCAGTTCAAGTACTACCACCATCACATAGATCCCCCATGATTTGCCTGCTTTCTTACTTAGAAGTTATTGCTCATAGACCACTTTGTACTTCACTTCTTGCACTTCTTCACCATATAGTTGTCTGTTTATGCCTCTCACACATTCATCCCTTTCCTTCTCTACCAAAGGTTCCCTTAAGTTGGTATACAGTCACCTTCCCATTCTCTTTATTATGTTCAAAATATTCAAATATCAAAGGATATATCAGAAACAGTCATTTATCATCAAGCTCTAATCCTCCAAACTCAAAGTAAAACTACTTTGGTAAATTAAAATAACTACAGGCAGCTCAGAGGTAGAGCTCTTGCCTACTATGCAGAAAAGCCCTGGGTTCAATCCCAGCATCATCCAAAAAAAAAGTCTAAAATAATTGCTGGGTATTTTTAAAGTATTCTTATCTGAAAATAACAATTTAATTGAACTGACATTCTGTTGATTATATCAGATTTGTAATTAGTCATGAAAACAGCCATTAAATGAAAGTTCAGGTCCTTCATTTTCTTCAAATTGCAAGATTTATTGTATTAACATGGTTGCATCATATTCAAATATATAACTTTAATGGGAAAGTGCTCATGGGTCATTGAATACAAAAACTAATCTTACAATGCAAAATCATCTTTAGACTTCCATACATATGATACAAGTGTCAGCTTCAATTTATTTCCACACTAATAGTAACTATGCCCTTTACTTATGTAAAAAGAAGGTATTACAGGAAATGAGGAGTGGCAGAGATAGAAGAACCAAAAATAGCAGTCCTTCTAAAACTAAAACTGCTCTTTATGGATTCTAAATACAGTTAATTCTAATGTCTCTCAAATCCCAGTAAATTAGGGGCAACAAGCCAGAAACAGAAGATTGTAAAAGTATGATACAAAGATTACACAAGTATATCTAAGAGGTTAAAATCAAAGACACACCAAGGGGAGAAGGAGGAGGCAGGAACAGAGAAATGACCCAAACAATGTATGCACATATGAATATATGAATAAAGAAAAAAAAAGACCAAACAAAAGGCATCTGGGAATTCACATGCAATTTTCTTTTACGTTTCATATAAACAAAACTAATGTATATTCAAGACTGAGCACTAGCAAAGAGTTCCCTGTTTAATATGGGAGGAAATTCACTTTTAAAAACAGATCTCTATCAAGGGTCTAAAGACTTTAAATACTATCATTAAGTTTTAATTTTAATACCTAGAAAATTTCCTTATGCGAACATACTCTTTTTCTGCTACACAAATAAGTTGAGTTTTAGACTTAAAGAACAAAAATGTATTTTTAAATGGGAATTATACTAAATTTGCTTTTTAAATTTTATATTCTTTATTTTGCTAATATAAGCAGTACTTGGGAAGACTTCAGAAAAAATGATGAAAAAAATCAGCCCTCTTACAAATTTCCTAGTAATGTTTTTTCTATACATAATTTGAATTGTGTATGTCCTTTTATATTGTGCCTGCTTTTTCTCCATGTTATTCAAATTCTATAATCTTCTTTTTCCCCCTTGGTAGTACTGGGGTTTAAACTCAAGACTTTGCTCTTGTTTAAGTGGTAGGCAGGTCATGTGCACAATATGGTAGAGCACCTATAATCTTCATTTTTAACAATAACCAAAGAGTTCATGAAGGAATATGTCAAGCCTTACATCTACTTGATCATTCTCTAGAACTGGCATTTGATTCCTGGAAGGAGCTATTATAAATAACTTTGTAACAGGCATCTTTGCAGATTAAGCTTCTCTATATTTTCAGATTATTTTCTTCAAAAGATCAACAAGTACAAAGAAATTTGGTATTTTTAAAAACTGCTAGTTGCTTTCCAGTAGTTAGAACATTGTACAGTCACCAACAAATTTTTAAGTGTCTTTTGGGTGCACCTCAGTTAGCGAATCAATTATTTCGTTTCACTTCACTAATAAAATAGCATGCTATCACTTAAACTTTCAGTTTATTTAAATTATTTTGTTTCAACATTTTCTCTAAAATATTAACTAGTTGTTTCCCCTTTACCAAATTATGTATTAAATATCTTACTTCTCTTACTTAAAAAAAAAAAATTCAGTGATTTTTATCTAATTTACAAATGTCATGTGTTGTTGTATTTTTCAAGTTTATTTGCTTTCAAGTATTAAATCTTTATTTAGCCAAATCTGTTCATCATTTCCTTTGTAAATATGAATATAAACCAACAGTGTAGAGAGCTGCCTAGCAGGTACAAGGTCCTGAGTTCAAACCCTAGTACTGTCAAAACAAATATAAGTCAGGAACAAAAAAATTCTTACAAAGATTAAAATATTCCATTTTATAGTCTCAGTAATTTTCCACTGCTTTTAGGTTTTTAAACTATCTTGATTCATTCTACATGGCATAATAAGAGAATTTAAACTTATTTTTTGTTATTATTTAGTCTAACCAAATCCTCTTTTGTGTGTAGTATCTTCATTAGTATATATTACATTCAGGCACTGTGATCATAGGCTAATAATTCTGTCCCATTTGTCTACTACTTTTTTGCCATGCATTCTTCCATTGAGCCCCACATTACAGTCGTTTAATGTTTCAATACCTAGAAAAGCGAACTCATTTACTCTTCTTTTTCAGAATTTTCTTTGGGATCTGGAAAGAACTCCTACCTTCAAAATACTCAGCTTTCCTATCCAAGAATATCACTATGTCTCCATACAGTCAAATGCTAAGACCAGTTTCCTTCAATGCTTTTCTTTTTAAGAAAAATATTATTGCTACTATTTATCTTTTTCTTAATACTTTCCAAGCTGTAATTAAATATAAATACTAAAAACCAAAAGCATTTCTACGCATCTTTGATCAAATCTTTTCACTTGACTCTTAGGAATTTTTTCATATTCTAATTCATACATTTGCTTTTTATAGGAGACTTGATTTTTTTGGAAATAGGGTCCCACTACATAGCCCAGGCCAGTCTTGAACTAGTGATCCTCCTGCCTCAGCTTCCTAAGTGTTGGAATCACAGGTTTGTAACACTGTACCCTGGGTTAGAAAACTGAATTTTTTATTTGTTTTTATTTTTGGTGGTACTAAGGTTTGAATCCAGGATTTCACACTTACTGGGCAGGCACTCTACTGCTTGAGTCACACCTCTAGCCCAAGAAACTATTTTTCAATCTACGCACAATTTTTTGACCTTACTAAACACAAACCTGTATCCATCTCCATATTTCTCACTGTTTTTTTCTCTTCTACGCCTTTGTTTCTCTCGCCGAGCCTCAATTCTTCGCTTTTCTTCTTCTTCATTTTTAGAATCAGTTTTTGCTAGGATATCAGACAAAAAAGTCACAACTAAAATTCAGTTTTCCATTCTCCCTTTCAAATCACGTTTATAAAGTACAGACATACAGGGTTTACTCAGTCATCATAACCTACATTGAACTCACCAGGAAAATCAGAGTTTGAGACCACCCAAAGCTTGTAAAACGCTAGCAAACAAACTGCATTTCAATATACTGTGGATCTTGCCATTATGTGCTTCTCGTCTATGGATTGTGACATATTTGTCTTTAAATCTGCTCGTTTTTCCTTATTCTTACTGTAAGCAATAATATCCTTACGACCTAAAATCATCTTGAATACCAATACACTTTAGGAAACACTGAAGTTACCAGACCCACCATGAAAATGGAAATCCAATGAGCACTAGAGTGCCTTGCACACAAGAATTCATATTCATATTTATAGGAGGTTTCCCAAAATTTCTTAAGACATATAAACTCCAAAATAAAAGGCTTTTTTTTTTTAAACTTTTGTTATAAAATACACAAACTATAAAATTCTCCATTTTAACTATGCTGAAGTATGCAATTCGGTGGCATTAAGTACATTCCCATGTTGGGCAGCATCACCACTTCCTAGCTCCAAAACTTGGTCATCACTCAATGACCCTAGTAGCCACTCCCATTTCAATCCCACACTAAGGTCTGGTAACTACTAATCTACTTTCTGTTATTTTGGGTATTTCATTTAAATGGAATCCTGTAGTCTTTTGCTTTTAGTCTTTTTTAGTGTGGCAACTTTTATTTAGTATGTATTCAAAGTTCATCCATGTTGAACCATGTAGATACTTCACTGTTACTGCTTAACGATACACAGTGCTACAAATGTTAGTGTACAAATCTTTGCTTGAATCTCTTTTCCAGTGTTTGGAATGTATACACATAGAAGTGGAATTGTTGAGCCATATGGACAGTCTGTTTATTCCGAGGAGCTTCACTAATCTGTTCCCCAAAGTACTACATCACTTTACAGTCCCACCATAATATGTAATGGTTCCAATTCACTTCCTTGCCAACATTTGGTTTTTGAACATTTTTTTTTTTATTATGACCACCCTAAGTAGGAAAGGAACAGTATCTCATCATGATCAGGTTCTTCCTTATGAAACACTGAACTCTACATTAAACAGCATCTTGAGCTGGGTATGACAGAACACGCCTATAATCCCAGCTACTCAGAAGGCAGGCATCAGAAGGACTGTAGCTCAAGGCCAGCAGACAAAGTTTCGCAAGGCTCCATCTCAACAAACACATTTCTAGTCCATATTTTGGACATCTATGTTACAGGTGAATATCATACTATATTATACAGACATACTACATGTTATTTACCAACCCATCCCTTGATAGATATACAGCTTTTCCCTACTTTCTCCTACTACGAATAATGCTACTATAAACATCCATACACAGTCATATGTGCCTTAACAAGGAAGACAGGTTCTGAGAAATGCATCTTTAGACTATTTTGTGTATAAGCATCATAAGGCGTATTTACACAAACCTGCATGAAAAGGGCCCCTGCCTAGCAGGAATAAATCCCTGAGTTCAAACCCCAGTACAACCAAAAAAACCTCACCTCATTGCCAAACACAAAAAACCTAGACAGTTCAGTCTACTACATACCTAGGATATATGGTATATACTACTGTATACAAAGTCCATCTTTGGCCAAAACATCATCATGAAGTACAGCAAGTGCATGACCACATGTTTCATGTATACCCATATTTTCATTTACCTTAGGTACATTCCTGGAGGTAGAATTCATATTATATGGCAACACTGTTTAATAGTTCTGAGGAATGCTAGACTGTTTTCCAAAGTGCTTGCCCCATTTTACATTTCCACAAGCAGTATATGAGGATTCCAATTTCTCCACAGCCTTGCTAAGGTCTATTATCTCTTTTTATTTTAGCCATCAGGATGGGTATGAAATAGTATCAGATTAGGATCTTGATTTGTATTTATCTGATAACCAACTGTTGAGCACCTGTTCATGTGCTTATCAGCCATTTTTCATATAAAAGTGAATTTTATTTATACAATTCAATGTATTCTAATTCATTTCATTAACAGAAATAAGTGGACTCTGAAGATTTAAAGTAGACTTTCAATGCTAAAATTTGAATGTGAGTTAATTTTTCATAACTTACTGAACAAAACTCAACAGGATACCGACTACAGTGAGTAAAAATTACATAAATTACACAGAATACTTAATACACTGGTACATACATATGTATGTATGATGTATTCAAGAGTTCAAAATTTAAAACTATGGAAAATTACTTTTCTTCTAGCTGCACTGTTAATTAGAATGACAAAGAGATTCCAAAGAGAAAACATAGTCCTTTGAAGGAACTGATTTCATAAAAGGTCAATGTGTGTGAAGGAAAACACCTCAGAATTTCTTATGAAATTCAAATCAAAAATTCATGGAAATTAGATATCAAATTATTAATAGCCTCTTATGTGTCCTTTTTTTGGAGAAAAATGTCTGTTCAGATTTCCTGCCCACTTTCTAATTGAGTTGTCTTATGTTGTTAAAAAACATCTGATTGTAGATATATAGTTTATTTCTGAATTCTCAACTCTATTCCACTGGGGGGTGTGTGTGTGTGTGTGTGTGTGTGTGTGTGTGTGTGTCCGTCCCCTTATGTTAGTACCACTCGTCTTGATTATCCTTGCTTTGTAGTAAGTCTGAAATCATGAGTCCTAGTAAGCTGGAATTCTACATGTATAGATCAAGGTAGTTAATATGGTAATGCCATATTAACAACGTTGTCTGCTAATCTAGTTTAGTTTTTATTTTTATTTACATCTTTAGTTTCTTTCAACAATGTTTTATAGTTTTCAGAGTCTAAGTTTTACACTTCTTTTAAATTTATCCCCAAGTATTTTGTTTTTCTTGATATTATCATCAATGAAATTTTCTTGATTCCACTTTTAGACTGACTCAAAAAAAAACAATTTGTGGGGGGAGGGATGCTGGGGTTTGAACTCAAAGGTCTCGTGCTTACCAGGCAGGCACATTGCCATCCCTTTTTTGTATTGGGTATTTTCGAGATAGGTCTTGCAAACTATTTGCCAGGGCTGACTTGGAACCAAACTACAATCTTCCTGATCTCTGCCTCCTGAGTAGCTAAGATTACAGGCATAAGCCACTGGCGTCTAGTTGACTCAAAAATCTTTAAGTCAATGTTAAAACAGAAGTATGACTGTCTCATCATATCCAGAAGATTAAAAGCAAATTAATTTTCTAGAAGAAACACAGCTTTCCTAGTACTGAGGAACAGGAAAATATTCTTCCCTTTGTCCTCATAAAGGGGGATTCTACGTGAGATGACATACCACCACCTCTTTACACCTACATTAAATGTAGCACCCAAGAAAGGGGTCTGAATCAAAATCAAGTGCAAGGCCTTTTTAAATCCTTTCTGGCCCCACCACACAGGATTCAGAGAAAAGGAATACACCACAGCATGTGAATTTAAAAAATATATTTGGGTAGTCAAGATTGATTAATAACTGCACTAGGAGATTCAGACATCTAATTTTCATCATTATAATTATGCAGTTTTTCAATATAAACACTAAAAATTATCTTAAAGCAACAAATTTTTTTAAAAAACCAGCAATTATGTTTTGTTACTTACTAGGTGATTTGCTGAGGCTCATCTTCTCCATAGGTTTTGCTAGCTTAGGTTTCTTGATAAAAGTTCCACCAGGCTTATTAAATGGTTGCATCATTTTTCTCTTTAGTCCTCTTGCAGTAGCAACTGTCACATTGGTGGGTTTGTTTTGGTAGTCAACAACAATGCCAGGTCTATGAATGCTTCCAAAATCACCCATATGCTGTAAATTTGTGAAATCAAAAAATATAAACATAATGTCCAAAGACAAAATATGAATTCATGACAAATTTTCATGTCATCTATTTACTAGTTTCACCTGAAAATTCCCTGGAATGTAACTAAATTTTACATGTCCACACTGAAAAAACACATTTAAAAACTTTGTAAATTATTACATGAACTCAAATCCATTGAAATAGTATTTTTATTGACAGTAGAACAAATGTAATTATTTCCTACCTATTTTTTATTTTTACAATTCAAAATTACTTGAAATCATAAATACCATATGTGCTTGTCAGAAGGTTTACCACTTGTACAACTCTCTGACAACTCCTCTTCAGAGTTCCTAATTGATGTTATCCCATGACAAGACCTTAAAAGAAATCTTTATTTTACTAACACCTGCCTTAAAACTAAGATACACAAAGAAGATCATATTTGTAGTTTGAAATTAAAAAGATCCAGAAATCATTTAGGATTTCTCCCTGCTGAAAAAGGGAATGAGAAGGCGAGATGGAACATTAGTATGAAATAGGAGAGTTAAAGCATAACCATGCATCAACTTCCAAGACACACTTCAGATAAAGAATTGCATCTGACGTTCCATTCACATTCTTACCTAGAGAAACATTCTGACCCAGGAGCCCAAGAAGCCAAAGTTTACAGATGAAGAGTCATGCCATCAAATGACTCTGTGCATCCCTTCCTCTTCTCTTGCCATTAACAAATCCACTATACCAAGAGGCTCGTGTCCATAGAAATTTATTGTGCTAATCTTACTTTTAGAAGGGAAAGGTTGAGGAGTAATCTGAAGAGAAGGACCCAATGGGAATTGTACAAGTGAAGATTAAGAATGAAGAGCCTACTGATTCATCTACTTCATTAACAGAAGGAAAGCAAGAAAAGTCCATTCAGACTAGAATGGTAAATACAAAGTACAGAAATATTTGTATTTTTATCATAGAAACAAAACTGGTATCTGAGGCATCGTTGAGAAAAAAATCCTTTACCTAAAATAATACACAGCATGGAAAATGTTACATTTTTTCCAAATTTTCAAGCTGGAATGGATTTTCAATTCAAACCCAAAGTCTAATTACCAACTATTTTTAATTAACCTGCAATCATCAAGTAGGGTGAAACAGCAACATAGTTGCTTGTATTTGTATATTACACCTATCTAACCTAGATTTAAATAAATGTTTCCAAGTAATTTATATAGTCACATCAGAAAAAAAATCTTCATACTATCCATTAAAGGTGCAATGCATTTTACAATAAGTAAAAAGTAACTGTTAAAACTACAAAATTTCTACGCAAGTATGACAAGCTACACTGAAGCTACACTGATGTGTCAAAAGCTAATGAATAGTCAAAAACATGTGCCCTAATACATTTTTATCAGAAGTACTTTCCTCCGCAAAGAGACTATTAAGCGCAAGTGACTTTCAAAAAGCTTTTTACATCATAGCAAAAATACAATCGTCCTTGTATGATCAAACTTCATAATCCCACAATCTACATACCTCATTAGGTAAAATTTTGTGTCAACCAAGTTACCTAAGAACATAAAGCATGGTCTTTACACTACATATCCTAAAATTAAACACCTGAAGGCTAGTATATTTACTCATTAAAGCAATAATTTACAAAATATTACTTCCTGGGAATGAGCCATAAACATAGCTATACAGGTAAGAAATCATTTCTGGGTAGTAGAGCTAGTGACACAAGGAGAAATAAAACCACCACCAATAAGACATATCATAAGAGCATGAATTAGCAAAATTATACTACCACAAATCATTCTACAATCTATTATACACATCACCTTCTTCACCATGTAAAGATGGCTAAGCTATCCTCATCTATCACCAACTTTTAGACTCTTGTGAAACACAGAGCTTTGAAGAAATTCTACTTGCAAGAGTTTAATAACAAAGTATAAACATTTTATCATACATTGCACCTTTAACCTACTCAAAAACTCAAAAAGGGTTCAGTTACCTTTTACAATAATCCAAGAACTGTCCCACCAGCAAAACTGCTAGTGTTTACAAGGAAAAATGCAACTCCTTTTAACCCCTTTTAGACCAAACCTATTATCTTCACCCTTTGAATAAAGGGAGATTTGGCATAACTTTATAAACAATCATCTCAAACTGCCACTTATTTTCTGAGGTGCAGGAAAAACTTCTATAGTCAACCTAAAACTTGTATTTATGACTCAGCTTTTGCTTAAAACACACTGGGATGAACAGTGTTCATTCTAGTTGGAAACCATGGTCTTGAAAGGGTTTAAAAGAGTGACTAGTGAAAAGAATCTGAAAAGATTCTGTTGTACTTACTCCTCGGCCTCGGCCTCTGCCTGTTGATGGTCCTCCAAAAGCATCATAGTTTCTGCTTCCAAACGTACTTTCAGGATAAGCAGGCGTTCCTCTCCCCCGAGAGCCTACAGGTGCAGGCTTCATATGGGGTGAAGAAAAACTGCTGTAGGAAGAGTAATTCTCTCTTCCTCTGTCCTCCACAAACCCAGGCCTCAATTTTGAACGGGAGTAAGGTGCTTCCCAGCTAGACCCGCCCTGGTTTCTACCTCCGAAAGAGTCAAGGCTATTCCGGTAGGAGCTCTCAAATCGACCACCATAACTACCTCCGAAGCGGCTTTGTTCGGGTTCATTAAAACCATAGCCAGATCTGTACAGATCTCGCCCACCCAGAGAAGACCTGGAGTCGTAAGACTCATAAGGTCCAAACCTGGAAAAGTTGCACAGTGAGGGAAAAAACAAAAGTAAGCTTACTAATGTTAGACAATTCAAAAGACAAATTATCAGATGACATTTATCAACTAAATTTCATTTATACCATACTGGTTTGTACAGTTCTACTTTTGTTCACACTTGATTAGGGCTGGGCAGTTCAACATGAGACCAGATAGAAAGCTATCTGAGTCAGTTTCTAATGAATTGACTTTAGTAAACCTTAGCTTACAAATCTGTTTAGCAACTTTTCTGTTTTATTAAGAAAAGATTTGTCTGTCATTACATAAGCCCAGCCCTAGTCTTGGAAAGGTCATTTGCTAAAGTTGACAAACTATTCAAACTTTCTTTGACTCCATCCCTAATATTGAAAATTACAAAGCATTTATGGTATTTTGGCTTTCCAAAGGGACACAAATTGAAGACTAAATGAAGGCTATTGGTAACACAAAGCACTCCTTTTGCACCCCAATAATCTGTGTCAAAAAACTGCCTCATTGTGTCTATAATAATCAAAATTTAATTCAGGTTATAAAATTTGACAATCTGCCAAACTTCAGCCAAGGACAATCATCAATCCTTAAATACTTTTAACTTGTAGACTAATAAATCTAACAAATCTAGAAGAATAAACACATAAAACAGAACATAAAAGATCACCAACATATATACACCCTCTGCATAGTTTAAGGCAGATGAGAAAGAATACATTTTGTAATATCTACAATTACTTGAAAAGCTATTTCCTATTAGGAAATTATCACATAAAACTACTCTAAAAAAAGGAGCACCCAGGCTCCTCAAGGTTTTAATAGAGTCAACAGAAAAAACAAGTCATCTTACTTTTCACAAATCTAAAACATGGATTACAAAAGTTGCTTGTTATCTTACAGCAGTTTTATAAAGGCCCACAATTACACAAGAGATGAGTGATAACATCTACAGAAATAGTTCATGCACATCACATTAACAATGTAATAGGGCAACAGCTGATATATTAAAACACTTAAATGTGTTACATTACTTCAATTACTTACAGATCACTAAATAGAAGGAACTATTTACTTCTGAATCCTAGTGACCATATAAGAATTATTCCTCTTTCTAACTGTTTATTTCAAAAGTTCTATCACATAAGGAAAGCTGTTAACTGCTAACTTCCTGATTTTACCTCTACTTAAACCATAATGGCACATTTCAATCAGAAAGAAGAAAAACAAGCATCATTCAAGTCCACCAGAAGGAATCCGGATCCTTCAACTTGTGAAGAAGGTTGATGGTTTCAAATTTCCCCTAACAAGTTTTACTAAATACTCAGCAGGAAGCTTTGTGCCTCAAAAAGTAAGCCCCCCTTTAAGGTTCCTAAAATATGGTGAACCCTAATGCCTACAGTGGCTTAACTAGGTTTCAGCCTCATACAGTATCAACAGTGAAATGTAAATACAATCTAGACTGTAGTGGAAGGTACAGTAGTCATGGCTTTAATACAATGCTAACCTTAAGCACAAGTGTTTTGGTCTAAGTAGCTTCCAGTAATTAACCTGGACATGATTTAAAGAACATTTTATAATCATATGCTCTTGCAACTTACTTTAAAATTAAATCTACCTTAAATGTTTTTTAGAAAGTGAGTGTTGCTAGACTGGTTCAGTTAAACCCATTCTAGTTAGACTGTTTTGCTGCTTTATATAGCACCCACATTAGAAAAAGTTTCACAAATAATATTTCCATTAACATTTCTGAATCATTTGTCCAAGACAATCTGACTGATAAGGAGTTAAAAGTAAAAGAAGTAAAAAAAAAAAAAAAAAGTTCACTTCTGAAGACAGAATATTTTACTCTATTATACCAAAATGATGAATTACCTGTGGCTTTCCTAAAATGTCTGCCAGTGACCCTGAGATAATTTTTATACCCATTAATTAACATCTTAAAATATTTAGGGTGATATTCAATACCAAACAGTGAAGTTCATGTATCATAACAAGTCTAAGGAATACTTAAAATAATATATTCAGACTCTTAATAGTCGTTTAATTATTTGGCCAAGTGATTAAGCAATTTACCTGCTACCCCCACCACCACCATTGTGATTGTCCATGCCATATGACTGGTTTAGGTAGGAATCCATGGATCTTTGACCCCCATACGATCCATGGCCATAGTCACGGTCCATCCCTATAAGAGTTTAAAAAGAAAAAAATTAAATGATGCTCACCTTTACTGGGACTCAAATGAAGAATTTTTACATAAAGATCCTTGAATATCAGACCTCCATAAGATCCAGGGCCATAATCACGATCCATTCCTAAAAGAGAGTAAATAAGAAATTGTCAGTAAAACACACCATTCTCTTATAAATCTCTGCAATAAAACGTAAAATATTCACATCAATCACCTGAGATTATTCACCATTAACATTTAATCTAAATTTACACTAGATATTAAAGGGAAAAAAACACCAACATGATAACTTACTGAAAATCATTTTTCCAACAAAGCCTAATAGTTCAAAGACAAATATTATCAACTAAAAAAATTCTATAGAACTATTTTCATTTAACCAATATTTATCTGACCAGAGGACTGCTAACATAAGGCTTTGGTACTATAACCATTAATAACATATAATTTCTAGTCTCAAGAAAAGTGAGCATTCAACAATGTCAAGAGAATTTTTTTTTCCCAAGTATACTGTGACATAGGGCTGAGGTACAGCTCAAGTGGTAGAACACCTGCCTGACACACACAAGGCCCTAAGTTCAAACCCCAACACTGCCAAAATTACTATATTTGTTTCCACATCTAATAATTCTCAAAATGTCTAAAAACTCAGAAGCAGCCATATTTTCAACTATACATGTTTATAGTTACAGACTGTTTACAAAGTAAAATCACAAATTGGGACAAATCTCTGGCACTGTGCCAGTGAACTACAAGGACACAACAAATTGCTTAAATCCTTCAATCCTTTAAATAAAGGAAATGAATATGAATTCTAGCAACATAAGTTCTAAAAAAAAAAATTCTAATAAAACAAAGAGCACACTGCAAATCTACCTATATCCCAACCTCTGACGTGAAAAATACAAAGTCAAAAAATTCACAATGACTACAAAAGCGCACAGCTAAAACAATCATTTAAAATTTATGGCCTTATGATATCCCTCAAAATACTTCATTACTACCCATCCCATATTTTACATTATAAACACAATAGTATACATGAAGCAAATACCTCAATTTGTATTTTTAAAACACTAAATTTCATTTACAATCATTTAATATTTCTAGTCCTAACAATGATGATAACAATAATGATGACAATTTTATAAAACTACTACTCAGAATCTGGTAATCTTGAAACTGGAATGACCAAGAAACTAAATGATCAGATTTAATCTCATTTTATAGATTTAGGAACTACTGTCCAAAGAGATGAAATGACTTTCCCAGTCTCATAGGTATCCTCCTGTCTAGTTTCATGTTCTTGCTTTTCTATGAAACATTTTGTTCTACACTGCCCCAAATACCTATCTACTGAAATCTTCTCATCTTTTAAAATCTACTTCAAATACTAACCTACTCAAGAAAACTTTTACTGATACTGTCTTGGTTGAGTATTATCTTTTCATCTCTCTTTTATTTATAAAAACCTGCAGATCTTATGTGGTGCTATGATACTTTGTCTTACATTGTGCTATGGTATCTTCACTTGAATTTGTAAAATGTGCAGTTGTCAACAGTTTACTCACCACTGAGAGTTGCTGAGACACTTTCCAGTGGTCCATGGATCAAAACTATATTCTTAAATAATACTAGCGCATTATTTGCACTTTTCATGATGTTGACATTTGCATTAAAGGTACAGAAGCAACAGTGGGTACAACTCTTGGCACTTTAGCACAAATCAAGGCAGTAACACTAGACAGAACTACCACCTGACATATTCTTCAGCATCACACAACACAGTGAAAAGCAGTAAAATTAAACTGCCATCTTCACTTAAGAATGTCCTTGATGAAGCAGTAATTGTTAATTTTATTAAATTCTGGCCTTGAATGTAATCACACCTTTTTGATATTCTATGTAATGAAATAGTGAGTACACAAAAGAAATTTTGCTGTATACCAAAGTATCACAGTTCTTTCAAGGAAAAGCAATTATGTAAATGTTTATGAATTAAAGAACCCATTCTTTTCAAACATGGTTATTTAACATTTTTCTCAAAAGTAAACTAAGTGAAACTGTGGTGTAAACAACTGGAAATACTAACTACCAATACTAAAATTCGTACTTTCAAGTGAAAATTAACATTTTATAAAACTTGTATCTTTGGTGGTATTTTTTTTTTTATATCATACAGGTATGGCAATATTTGGAGAATCTACCTAACTCAGTAAATCAATGTTTTCCAAATAGTAAGTATTACAGAATCACATATAGTCAAAGGTCCACTGAAAGTGCACAACACACCAATGGATTTCAGTGAGTACAAAAAGCTTATCAATATATAAAACATATTAATGAAGTATTTTACTTTGTTTCTTCAAACTAAGACTTCAAATCCAAAGTGTACACTTCAGCATGTTATCAATTCAGACTGTCTATATCTCAAGTGTTCAGTAATCTCATGTAGCTAGTGGCTATGATAGTGTGGACAATAACTTTCTACACAAATAGAACAGCCAATTATTTGTGTTAAAGAGTTGGTAAGTATACAGTGTAACATATGCCTGTATAGTTTTGAGATGAAAATGTTTTTCAACATAAAAAGTTTTCCTATAAGGCTTCACATGAAAAAAATCTTAAAAATTAATGGCCGATCATGGTGGCACAAGCCTGTAATTCCAGCTACTTGGGAGATGGAAATCAGGAAGATCACAGTTGAAGGCCAGCCCAGGCAAAAAGTTAGGGAGACCCCATCTCAACTAACAAGTTAGGCATGCTACCATGTGCCTGTCATCCCAGCTACGTAGGATGCCATAAGTAGGAGGATCATAGTCTGAAGCCAGCCCAGGCAAAAATGACACCCTAATCCAGAAAATAAATTAAAGCGAGAAAGAGCTGACAATGTGGCTCAAGTGATAAGAATGCCTGCCTAACAAGCATAAGACCCTGAGTTCAAACCCCAGTACTGCAAAAATAAAAATATACCAAGTTTAGGCAGGTATATAAAGCAAAAATCTTCTATTTTGTTATTTCTTCTAGTTTTTATTTTGAGTTTGTAGTGGCTACCTTGTATACAAAATCCTTTGTTTTTGTTTTTTTAATTCTGTGTTTTTGTTTTACTATGGAGCAATAAATGAGTAGTATTTTATTAAACACCACGTCAGGTGTGTCTACTTTTATAAACAGTGATTCTTGTTACTATTCATACAACTGCCATTATTCAGTTAATTAAGTAGAGGAAAATCTTTATATTATATAAAATCAACACAGTTATAATAAAACTATCAAGGACATAACAGGATCTCTTTACTATTAATATTAAATGAGAAAGTAATTTACAAAGAAAAATAAAACTGGCCCAGTAATTTCAATCAAATCTTTTGCTTAGGTAACAGGTACTGAAAATCTGCTTTTGCTGAGAAACACGGACTCCTTACTTAACTGAAGGCAGGACAAAATCCTGGCATCCCAACCTCCATTATGTATCTATGTCCTCTGATTTGAGTCATTCTCTCCAGCAGTCATTTTTTAGGAATCCAGGAAGGAATGGACCACCTGTGAAGCATCAATGACACTTCACCTGACCAACCCTGAGATGCTTGACCACAGAAACACACCCATGAGTGGGACTGCTTAATTGTGCATACCTCTCACCCTATCCCTCAATTCTTCCTCCTAGGAAGAATTCTTCCTTCAGGGAAGATGGATGGAAATGGGTTGAAATGCTACCTTTCCTGTTTCCGTGGTTCCCCATGCCATGTAGTAAAATTCCTTTCTCTGCCCTTCACCATTACTCATCTTTTGTATCTAGCAGTTGGGACAAGTAGCTGGACAAGTAGTATGAACACAGGAGTTTGGGCCTGAGTCTTAAGACATCTTACAACACTTGGCACTATCATGTAATATTCCCAAAAGTTAAAACTCAACAATAAAATATAAAAGGAGTTATGGAGTAGTTAGGAAAAAACTAACATATTATCAAAATAACTAGCTAGTTGTGTAACACTTAAGTTCTGCATAGAAATACATCTGTGCACTACCAGCACAATAGTGTATACTACCAGTACCTATCACCTACATTATTCCAGATAGCCTCCAAAGTGGTTTTCCCACAGCCACTTTTACTCCCTTTCTCAAGACCAAAAGCCAGAATATTTCTGGTAAAATATAAGTTAAATTATTCTAATGCTTAGTACCATCCAATGGCTTATTAACCAAGAGCAATTCTGTATATAAGAGATACTAGCACTATCTGTAAACATTCTCTGGTTGTCACAACCACGTGACAGGTGCTACTGACAACCAGCATATTTGCTAATCTACGATGCTGCTGTTCGTTCTGCAATGTACAGGACACAAAACGCAAGTTACCCAAAATGTCAACAGTGCCAAAGCTGAGAAATCCTGCCTCCTATGATCTGTCCTCTCACCTCTTTCAACTTCACTATTACAACCTTGTTCATTCTACTCCAACTATACTAAGCTCCTTGCTTCTCCTTGAACCCAATAGATAAACATCCACTTTTGCACTTAGTGCTTGCTCCCTCTGCTTGGAATGTTCTTCCCCTGCACTATTCACTAACTCACCTCATTTTCTATTGCTTCTTCTATATATGCAAATAACCTTTGGTTTTCAATGCCTTCTGGCTACACCTCACCTTTCTAGCTTTGTCTTTAGACAGCTCAGCAAAAATAACCTATCCTGGCCAAACCAGTCTTCTTTTTCTCTTTGAAGCTCAGTGTACTCAGCCGTATCTTTCTTCATTCTATTCCCTCTACCAGGAATGTTTTCCCTTTTTCAATCTATTATTTTCCTAAGAGGTATTATGAAAACAGAAAAAAATTTGAGATACTGGAAATACAAACTTCTTTCAAAAAAATGGTGTGGAGGAAATCTGCATCTTGACACGTTTTCTCTAAAGCCTTCTAGTTCATTTCAGTAGAGAACTGGAAAATATTATGCTAACAGTAAGTATGTGTTGGTTTCATTCAGTCCCTACACAGAATAAAAATGGAGTTACATGTGCCATAGTGGTACATATGTATAATCCTGCAAGTAGCGTTAAGTTTGGGGCCAGCCTGGACCATGTATCAAATTACAGGCCAACTTGTACTGTACATAAAATGAGACCCTATATTTGCAAAATGGAGTCACTCCTGCAAACCTTCTCAAAAGTAACTAAAGCCAAGAGGTTATAAAGAATAGGTTCTTCTTTGTGGGTACCTCGCACAATTTCATTAGATATCTCATTCTTAGTAATTAAATCTATCCCATCATGATACATCAATCATTGATTATAATCTTGGTTTTATTTTTGCAAGGGGTCACAACATTAAATCTGATACCAGAAATAGAGACTAATGAAACTTTCTGTTCTCTACATCTCAACTTAATGTGTCAAATTCTAAACTACTGCCTTAAAGAAAAGGTTAACAACTAAAAACATTAGCAAAGAAATTAAGGTCCTTAACTTTAAACTGTGGAACTATACACCAGTATGCAGATGATCTCTTTAATTTCTTGGGGCCTTCAGGATACTAGATTTCTCAAAAAAAGGCATAGATCTCCCAACAAAAGGTAAAATATCTAGGCCATGTTGTAAACACAGTAACTGCTGCCCCTGAGAAAAGAAAGATGTTCTTAAAATGGGGGCCACCTCAAAGGAACAGCTCAAAACTTATCTGTAAATGGCTAGATTCTATAGAATTTGAATCCCTGGGCTTGCATTTACGTGGCAACCTAGGACATCACCAAGTAATAAAAATCAAGAGCATAAACAATGAAATAAGGTGGGACTGGCTTTTACACTGATACTTTATGAATATGAAGATAAAAGCTGAAATGTATTTGCTCAGTAAATTTTAAAGCAAATGAAAGAGAATACTTACCATTAAAGCCCTGATAAGTATTCCTGCAAGCAGTGTGTGTGAAATCTAAGAAGACACATGTAACAGAAAGGAATCAGTGCAATATTAGCAAAAATCCAAACTTATATACCAGTCTATTCAAAAACAAATACAATTTTTGAATGCCATTAACTCAATTGTCTGCAAAATGGGGGTACAAATAATTACCAATACCCACTTGGAAAAATCTCTCTCCACAATTTCTCAAATGGCAAGCTCATACCCAAATTATAGCAACATAAAAATCAGTTTGTAACACTAATAAACTGCCAAAAAAGGGGATCAACTGCTAATTTATACTGGATAACAAAAAGGAAAGCAGATTAAATTATGTATCAAATAATGCTGGGCAGATATATCTGAGAATTGCTTCTATGTAACACAAATTTTCAAGGTTATTTCTTTTAATAATTTGTTCTCTAAAGATTTCCAGATCTTATCTGACAAATGCATATATGTTTGAGTACAAGCTACATTCATCCAGGACATGGCATCACTGAAATTCCTTGAAAAATCACTGCCAATTCCTTGAAAAAACTAACCATACTAAATTCTTTAATTTTACAAATACTGAAGATTAGAATTTAACACAGTGGTCATTTGGATAAAATAAAACTCTGCTACACTACATAGGTCTAGGATACACTGTAAGCCAAATTCCATCTTCCAAACACAGCTGAGGACTGGTAGTAAAAGAGGGAGTACTTTACCACTAACTCTGTTTCTATCTGTAGGCATACAGTGATTAAAAAAAAAAAAACAAACATACTAAGCTTTATTATTTTTCAATTCTCTAAAGAATTCTCTAATTTAACAATGTTAAGTTATTTTATTTTACATACAAATACTGGATTTCCTTATTGACTTATTACCCCATTATACCCTCACCACAATGGTAGCTTCTGCTGGACCTTGTATGTTGGTACAATCCTCAAACTTTGGCATGAGTCACACCCTTGGAGGTGTGGCTCAAGTGGTAGAGTCCCTGCCTACCAAGGGCAAGGTCCTGAGTTCAAACCTCAGTACTAAAGGAAAAAAAACCAATCAACCAACCTTTGGTATGAAAACACAATATATTTTATTTTCAGTCTCAACTCTGGCCAGTTCACAGTTTAAAGGCATCTGTATCTAAATATATCAAAGTCATGAGGCTGGAGGCATGGCTCAAGTGGTAGAATGCCTGTCTTGTAAGTTCAAACCCCAGAATTGGGGGAAAAAAAAAATATATATATATATGTATATATACACACACACACATATATACCTGTATATGTGTGTGTGTGTGTGTGTATACATATATATCTCAAACTATATCAAAGTCGAACTGAAAAACACCACAGTGTGCCCACTCATCTGAGCATCCAGGGCTGGGGTGGGCTCAAGTGGCAGAATGCTTGCCCTGAGTTCCATTTTCATTGCCCTTAAATAGAGCTGACTTCTTATTCCAAAGCAACTACAAGATACACACAAAGGGTTATCCTGCCCCTTTTCTATTTTTAGATTTGGCAGTTTTAATACTTTGTAGCCTGACATCAAATCTAAACTCAAACCCCATTCAGTTAGACACTTATTTAATATTAAAAATCATTTCTCTTTTTTTTGGGGGGGGTTGGGGGGTGAGGTAAGAGGCTTACCAATATTTAGTGAACTGGTTTTACTTAAAAATGCCTGATTCCTCAAAATTAAATCCAGTCTAATCATACATGCCGTGTCACTCTAATGTTGTAACTCTGTACCATTTTATACTGACGCTAATTCCTACAGAAGTTGGACAAGATTTGAGTTAATCGCGTCTAGTTCGTGATCTTGTGCAGGTGGTTTAAAGAACTGGTGTCAGCCAGAGGCGTGGCTCTAGAGCGCCTGCCCAGCAAACACGAAGCCCAAGTTCAAACTCCAGTACCACCAAAACATAGATAAAATAATTAAAAAACTGGTGTCAGAGAAGACTGAAAGATACTGATAAAACTCCGTTTCTTCAATCAGTAAGTCCCTGGGCACAGGTGTGAACGCGAAGGGCATCTGACGCTTGCTGTGCCAGAATTCTAACTTTAGGTCTCATCCACACACAAGCCACAGAGGGTGCTGCGGCTCACGAAGCTGTTTCAAACTGGGTAGTTACAACCGCAACAACCTTGGCGGACAGATGCGTGTGTGCATTCCACACCTCCGGCTCTGCGTGCCCGGCCACCTGTCCTATAACGCCTACGGACGCCCCATGACTCGTCAGGAACTAAGCAGCGTCAACACGCGCGTGGGTCAGACGCTGGGAGCCCACTCGGCACGCGGTGGCGCGGGGCCGGGGCGCAGGAGCGCACGGCGGGCAGGGGGTCGCGCGGAGGTCGGGAGGCCGGGGCTGGACGCGGAGGGCGGCCGAGGACGGGAGGCCGCCGCGAGGGGCCGCCCCGCTTCCCACAGCCCCGCGAACTCGCTAGGGTGCGGACTCCAGGTTCGGGGCGGGCATGCGGGCGGCCTGGGCCCGGCAGAACAAAGCCCACACGGCCATCTTGAGATGGTAAACAGACCCCCGGCGCAGGCCACCCCGCCTCCCGTCCGCCGCTGTGCCCAGCCAGAGGCGGCGCTTACCGTCCTCGAAGTCCATGGTGGAGGCTCGGGGCTGACGGGCCTCGGCAGCGCTGGTCTGAACGGCAGCCAGCAGCAAGCGTCCGCGACCCACGGTCCCGCACTACCGGTCGGCACAACCAAGAGCAGCGATACCGGCCGGGAAACCGCAGGCCACAGCGAGGCTGGGGGCGGGGCCGGCCGGCGCAGCCAGCCGCCGCAGCGTAACCTGCGATTGGCTGGCGAGGGTTGGTAGGCGGGCTCGCGCGTTGGGGCGGGAAGTAGGTCCGCTCTCAGGCTCGCGCGTGCTGACCCTGGAGTCACGAGGAGGTGGAAGGTAAAGGAAGCACGGAAAAGCTGGCAAGGTACTGGAAAGTGAGCTGCGTGTTGGGAAGGGAAGCGCGGCCCGCCATGTTTGAACCTGGCAAGAGCGAAAGGGCGTCGGGCCACTTTGTGCTCACGTCCCGGCCTTTGGGTTTTTATTGGCTAGAGATGACTGATCAGATTTTTTAAGTACTTTTGGAGTTTTAGTCTTGGAGACACGGAAGTGTAGAACGTGCAGAGAACAGATTGCTACGCAGGAAACAATTATGAGAATGAGTTCAAGACTGGCTGTTAGCCGGTTCTGAAGTTTAAGGTGCACGTGAAAGAGCTAGGGAAGATTTGTGGCAGAAAGAGTCGTCCAAATCTTGAAGGATGGCTTTCACAAACACAGAAACACACTGGTATTATAGCATTGCCGGTTTGGAAAGAGTGTTGGGGACATACATATAACGGCAAAGTTATTCACCCAGAGGAACAATATGAAAAAAAGCTGTTTGAGCCACAGATTTTTTTTAATTATTTGTTTTGGGGCCTGGAGTTTGAACTCAGGGCTTCGCAAGCACTTTACTACTTGAGCCACACCTCCAGTTCATTTTGCTCTGGTTAGTTTGGAGATTGGGGGGGGTCTCAAAAACTTTGCCCATGCTGATCTGAAAGCTCTATCCTCCCGGTCTCACGCTCAAGTAGCTACCTGACTGAACCACAGATTTAATTTTTTTTCCCACAGGGCAAATGGTGGCAACAGATTTGATTTTCTTATCTGGAAAAGCAAATTATTTTCTCTTCTTCAAGGTCCAACCATTTGCTAGAACCAAATTCCAATAAGGCAACCTCTGGTAATAGAATAGGAAGAAAAACTCACAGATACACTATGTGTAGTCCCACATCTAAGCAAGGAATTGGTGCCTCTCATCATTTTCCTTCTCCACCCTGATTGACTCACTCTGTTCTCCACCCTTTTCTTGTTTCCTTTTTCTGCCCCTCCTACACGTATTCTGTTCACCTGAGCTGAGCATGTTGAAAACTGAGCTCAACTTCCTCCTCAGACTTGCTCATCCTCCTGTATTCTTTCATCTGTTACTGGCATCATGAGAAGCCACCCACCAATCCCAACCAGAAGGTCGTTTGTCATCCAGTCAAGGCTCAGCCCTCCCCTTGCCTCCCACTCCTAATACATAATGAGGTTTTTCATCCACTCATTACCTCCTAAAATTTAAACCTCCCCCTCTCCATTCCCACTACTGCTACCTGAATTAAGACTCATTATCTCTACAAAAGTATTGCTTGAACTTCCTAATTAAGTTCCTTCAGACTGCAGTCCTCTAAATGCAAATCCAAACTTGCCATCACTGTGCCTCCAACATGGATTAGGTCTAGTTAAAGCTCACTAACCTGGAGCATATGCAGAAGGATTGGGACACGTCTGACCTCTGCCCTCTCCCTACATTTTCCCCCCTCCTCTCTCTCACCTTCCCTTTGACTAGCAATTTCAGGCATTTGGTTCTAAAAACTACCCTATAGTTTTTCATACTACTAAACTTTTTCTTATATTGTTCCCTGTACTTGGAACACCACAGCTGATGAGCCCAGTGTATCCTCAAAACACAGCTTGGGGGCTGAGGGTATTGGTTCAAGTGGTAGAGCACCTGCCTAGCAAATGTGAAGCCCTGAGTACAAACCCCACCACCACAAAAAAACAAAAAAACACAACTTGGGATTTACTTTTCTAAGAAGCATGCCTAGATCTCATCCCCACACCCCTAGGCCAGTACTTCTCAAATGTTGCTATGCTTATGATTCACCTAGGGATGTAATTAAAACAGATTCACATTTGGTTAGTCTTGGATGAGGCTACAGACTATTTCTAACAAAATTCCCGAAGCTGCTCGTGCTATGTGGAACCACACCTGGGGTACCAAGGCACTGACTAATTACAGCACTGTCTTCTGTGCATTAAATACTCTGACTTTGTGACTCCCACATCCAAAGCTCTCATGTCTTCTTTATATTCTTAGTACCAAGCACATATGTTTACCAGGTAAAACTGAATTCTCCTATCAAGTTTTTAACTTTTTTTCTTGTTAATCTTTTTTCCCCCACTTACCTTCTGGTAAAGAAATGATTTTGAAACCTGCAGTCTTGGCATGACTGGAAAAGAATAAACACTGGGCCACTGTGTTGTGTGTTGTGAGCACACTACACCCACACCCACCTACACCCCTTGTCCCCTGAAAAAGAAAACTGCCAGACAAGGAATTCCCAATTCCAGAAGAAATCTGGCCTCAGCACAAATGCATGCAGAGCCAGAATACACACATCTCTTCTCCCTTCCTTCCTCTTCCCCAAATAGGAAGAACTCTTACACAGGTAGTTAGATGGCCATACCTGGGAGCCACCCTGCAGAACATAAGGCCATCCCGCTGTTCCCTAATTCACTTGTTCAACAGATTCTCATTGAGTACCAACTATGTGCCAAACATTTTCTCACTTCATTATTATCACTCAAGCACCCCACCTCCCAGAGTCTGAGTTCCCACTTTGTTAGATTCAGATTTTTTACCCTGACGGCTCAATCCTGTGTACAAAGTCGAATGTCACTTCATCTTCCATATATTTTACAGCAGGTGACAGGTTAATAAATTCCAGACCAACAAAGTTTGCCAAAAATTTTGAAAGAACAGAGTTGTTTTTTTTCTTGCATTGTTTCTTGGCAGTACTGGGGGTTGAACTCGGGGCCTCATGCTTACTAGATAGACACACTACCACTTAAGCCACTCCATCAGCCTTTCTTGTGTTGGTTATTTTTGAGATAGGATCTCACTTTATGCTCAGACTAACCTGGATCCATCCTCCTGTTTGTGCTTGCCCACATAGCTGAGATGACAAACGTTCCCAGCCATTGATTAAGATAGGATCTTTCAAACTTTTTGCCCAGGCTGGCTTCAAACCATGATCCTCCTGATCTCCATCTTCCAAGTAGCTAGTATTACAGGCTTAAGCTACAGCACCCAGCTAGAGGCTTCTTTAATTTTGTTTTGTTTTGTTTTTAGTGCGCAGAGGTACAAAGCATGTGGAAGGCTGAGGTCAAGAGTAGACTGCAGGGGCAAAAAGGAAATAAGAGGTTGCACTTAGGATCTGTTCTTCAGGGAGTTATCAGAGAAGCCCCACCCCTGCACCTGAGAAGAGCTAGGGCTCCCCAGGGAACCAGGGACCTTTGTTCCTCAGCTCCTAACCCTCCACCTACATATGTTCTGCTCCCACAGCACAGGACCATCTGCTGTTCCTGAACAAACTGCATCTCCAATGTCCATGCCTTTGCTGGCGGTTCACTCTCTTACTGTGTTTCCTCCCTTCCTTTCCTGTTCCTTGGGCTCACTATACTTGATGCCTCCTTTTAAACCTCTCCCTACGTTTTTTTTTTTTTTCACTCTGTGTAAACTGTAACCTCGTTAATGGTTTCACTTTCGACTTAAGGGCATTGGGCTTGCTAGACAAGTGCTCTACCACTTGAGCCACACCTCCAGCCCTTTTTGATTTTAGTTATTTCAGACAGGGTCTCACATTTTGTTTTGTTTCATCCAGAGCTGGCCTCAGACTAGGATCTTCTTACTTGTACCTCCCGTGTAGCTGAGATTACAGGAGTGAGCCACCCCACCCAGCACACAGTTGGATTCTTGTTATAGTGAATTATTTATAGCCTATCTCCTTATTCATATACTTTTGGGTATGAAGACCCTTTATTGTGCTGTTTAGATGACCCTTGCAGAGCACTATATATGTTGAAGGGAGGAGCATTAGCCGAAGCACCACTGAAAAGAATTAAACTGAAATAGGTTACCACAAATTCATCTGCACAAAACCATAAAACTGAACCCATACAATTATTTTGCAGGGTGACTAGTAGAGTTGAGTCCTGATTTCACAATGCTTTCCTAATTTCCAAATAATTCTTCCTCCCCACAGTTTTAGGAAATGCATAAACACTTAGACAGGGAAGTCAAGAACTAAGAAATAACTGTCTTATAGTAAAGCAGCCAAACTTAAAGTAGTTCTGACTGAGGACTCTGAATACTTATCAAAAGGCGTTTAGTTACAGGGCCATGATGGAAAACTGAAAAGAACTGGTGTGACAGCATTGAATGGAATGTGTTTTACACAAATGACATGATGTCGCTCCCTGGTTTTAATATAGAACTGCAAAGAGATGCAGGAGTCTTTGAAAGCTGAAAGGAATAGCAACAAAATCATAACTAAGCTTTATTAAGACTATATGATAATAAGTGTTCAAAAGCACTTTACTTATATTAAATCATTTTATCCACCAGAAAACCCTATGATGTAGGTACTTCTGTCATCCCCAACTTACCAATTAAGAAACTGAGACCAAGAGAGGTAAAGTTACTTGCCAAAGGACACACAGCTAGTAAAGGATAGCATCAAGACACATGTGCAGTCAGCCCAAACTTGTGTCTCTCATCCTGAAGTTCCTTTTGTGCCCTACTGGGCAGCTACTGTGTGTTGAGAATTCTGATGGACACTTTGCATGCCTTAATTCTGATATTTATGATAAGGTAGGCTATACCCTTTTCTGAGTGAGGAAAGCTAAAGAGAAGTTATTTACCTAAGACTATGCAACCAGCAATGCTAGATACATATTGATGATAAATATTATATAATCATGCTTAGTTAGGTCTGTTGATGTATGGGGAAAGTCTTATAGACCAATATCACCATTTGGGCCCTCAGGTTAAACAAAAGACTTTACTAAATTATTGATAATTTGACATAATTGTGCATCATATAGTCAAAGAGAACTACACAGCAAAAGAAGTG